CTTTACGACCTGGATATCTCGCTGTCCTAGTGAACCTCCAAACAGATCACATGCCAGTTTACTGATGGTCTCTGCCTACTGTTTTAGCATCACGGGACTCTTGATGTCATACCCTAATGACTCATATTAGCTGTTAGCTTTTTCTGAAAATATTTACTTTCACTTCGCGTTTTAGTATCGCATCCAGTTCTTATTGCCAAATTATGGCTGCTTTTGAACCCCTTTCGAGAAGCCTTTTAACTACAAAAGACTCCCCCCTCTCCAGGTGCACATGTAGCTTGAGGTAACTTCACTAATGATATCTTATGTTAACTACCCATGGTCGTTACCTCTTACCTTCAGCCGCTGATGTCACCAAGGAGAGTGTGTTTAATTTTTATCAATTTGCTTTCAAGTTCCATTATATTGTTGTAGCGGAACATGATTACGTGTCGTCTTACGCGGTATTCCTCTGTGACAGCGAAGTTATTAAAAGATTATGATTTATAGTAGGTTGGCCATTTCTATGGGAACTGTTGAGGTCTTTCCCCACATGGTGTCAGACATATAGGACTTCCAATGAGTCTTCTAGACTATAGAAGTTTACTGAGATCAGATGGGGAGAATTGATTATAGCTGGGTATGGCGGAAGGGAAAGTCCGAACTCATAGATCACCGTTGTTACTTACTCCTGGGCGTACCATCACCACTGCTGTCGCATATCAGTTCAGGTTGAAGATACCACAGGCATTTGAAGTTTAATAAACGCTTTATCAACAACACCTCCGATTATGAATCGTACCCAACAAGTGAAACCAAAAAAACAGAAGTGAGGAGGTTCGAAGATATATTTGATAGGTTATCAATATGTCGACGATCGATTAATCTAGGCTGGCTAGTGATTGTAGGGGATGTTGAGCACGACGTTCCCATTAATGATTTGGTGCGGATGCATGACCGAGCCCCTTCAGCTAGGTGAATCCATTAAAACTAATGTGGTCAGTATCCAATGTCGAAGACTTACAGAGCTATTTATTTTGGGGATTTATTTACCACTACAAGGTTTTCAAGAGCTCTCTGATGTTTTTCTTGCGGTATCTTTTACAGATTATGGTTTATCGTGTTGAACTCTACTGTTTGAGGATCGTGTATTGCTAGTCTCTGAGACACCAGAGGAATTTATTTCGCTACATCTTCGTCTCTCAGGATTACTATAAGTTGAAGGAGCTTACTCTTTATTGCTGTTTTGCCTCTGTAAAAGCGGCACAGTCTCAATAGGGTAACGGCCAAGCAAGATACAATATGTATCTCAACGTTGTTTGTCGGGAGCTGTTCTGCGTTCCAGTAGACTATGCTCTGATGATAAGACAACTAAAAAGAGTAAGAAGTTTTATTTAGCAAAACTTTTCATTCAATAAAAGCTGTATGAATTGCGTATTTCAGACGTATTCGGTTTATATACAAGCAGACCAGACCGCATCACATCATTAAATAAATCATAGTTATACAAGATCAAGTCAAACGTGTCTGTGAGTGTGAGAAACTGAAACTTGTAGACTGGGAATAACTCAAGAATAGTTAATAATATAGTAGTAGCTAATAGATCAAATAAAAGCTTATAATGAGAGAAATGTAAATATTTGTAATCTAGTCACTTAAATGTTATACAATAAGAATATATATTTAATAACAGTCCATAAATAGTTCGCATAAGTTACCCAAAATTCGATCTTTTTCGGACGCAGACACTCTAGCGAGCTAATTTGCACTTTTCAGCAACTTTCTCATAACTCTCTCACATGGACGCTTTTGAGTATACAGATTTTTAGTCGACAATCTGATAAGTCACATCTGATTCAAAATGAGTATATTAACCTACGTAAACCTAACACTAAACAGTCCTTTTTTCAGACAAATTTACGCCAAATTATCTATTTTCGCTCGGCACAAGTGTACTCCAATGATTTACTTTCCCCTAAATGTACGCCAAATTTCTTAGTTTTCGTAAGACTGTTTATTTTCCAGTCGAATTAATATTAACCGCTCTGACTTGGTACATGCTTATGAAGTTCATCACTACTTTCTCAGGAAGACCAAGTTTTCTACGCAGCCGGCATGATTTAGGGGAATGGTTCATGTCTGGAAAAATCATTTTCACTTAGTTTTTAAATATATCAGCGTTAGGATATTAGTCAAACGTCTACATTGTGGCTGACAGAAATGATTATAGTCACCCGCAGTCTGATAAATAATTAGGTTAGCATTTCATACCGGGTTTACTAAATATACGAAGTTTTCAAAAATGTTTCCTATTTAATAAACTGTGCTAATTTATACAAACTTTTACCGTCTACATCTTATTTTCTTACTCATCACGTCCAAGTGAGATTGTGGGTGTGTGTGTAGAAAAATCGATCTAAGGACAGTTGACAACAATGTCGAAAAATCAGAAATATTTCTCGTGTATCATGAAACAACTAGCAGAGGGATGCTGAGGTTGAATATCATAATTATCAAATTTGGCTAAGTCGGACGATGAGCTTGAGAATCTCCATAAACTACTATTGCTGAAATGTATTTCGTATCGCCATTCGCCACATACAGTCCCGCGTAATGGATACTGGCATAGGTGTTGAAGTGGAAAGATTTAGGGGCTGTTAAACAATAAATTCACTGAGTATATATGTAGATTGCATTGCTACAGACTACGCGATAACCTTTGTCAGTGGTTTAAGACATTAGGTGACTATGATGAATAGAAGTATCCAAATTATTGTAAGAAATGGGAATTCCCTAAACGGTACGATCTAAGCCAGGCAGAACTAGATGTGCAAAAACGAGCATATTGCATTTGGAATTCGAAATCAGGCAGTCATCAGGTACAAAGTAACCATTAGTTCATACAAACACCACAATGTCCTCTTCCAATTTTTCCGAGTATTGTTGTCTGCTATACCTGTTTGATATAAAATCCCCAAGTATCTCATCTGTTTAATATTATTAACGCATTGGTTTCTTGACGATTCAAACCTAAGTAATTCCCGCGAATAATTGGATCATATCACACAAACTAATGAGTCAGATAGGGATACAAGTCAAGACAACAAGAAGCGAGCTCAGAAAGATCAACTGGTTTATACAGTCTTATTTTTATTGGTTGGTTTGTCTTTCGAAATACTATATATCCTATTGTGTATACTCAGATTTTTGTCTTACTCAAAGGACGAAAACCTTATTGAAAGTTCAGACTCCTCCTTATATATTCGTATCAGGTGTCTATAAAACAAACGAGTTTGCTCATTTCTCTGTATTAATTTTTCTATTCAGTGTTCATAAGATAATGTATACTCCATCAGATCTAAATGTGCCGGATTCAATCTAGATTTAGGTAATTAATGCTGACAGACAAGAGGTCTAAGAATAAGATGAAGTGACCATCCAGTGTTTCCTAATATTTGAAAATTCTTCAGATAACACAATTCACTACAGTGAGCTCCCAATCCCATTATCTTAGGGAAAATTTGGGGAGCTTTATATAAATTTTGAGGAGAAACCTCAGTGTTATAATATTTTTGGGAAATATTGGGGAAAACTCGAAATTTCTTCAAACGTTTTAGAGTTTTTATGCCATCTCCCCGAAATCTCTCAAAATTTTCTATAACAATTTCCCAAAAATTTACCCAAAATACACGTATCCGAAATTCATTCTAGTATTTGACTTATTTAATTCCGTTATTCACTAACAGTATTTAAGTCCATAATTTTATACAAGGATTGACGGTATGTATATTTCAAATAACATTCATTCATACGATCGAGCTGGAGTCAGGTTCAGGGCCACAAAAAACTGATTAACATGTTTTTAAAGAATAGATTACAGTGTTGTTTTGTTTTTTGCTGTTATATATGAATGATAAATATTCGGTATTTTGATTGTTAGTAGCTTCCGTAACCTAATTTGTATTTATTTATTTGACCAATATACCTACCTGTTGATGGAAAAGTCAGCATCAGAGCAATTCATGTTTTTTATTTTTTATTTTCAAATTTTTCAATGCTTGGTTTGATTTCTAACAATAATATCATACTTCCACACATATTTTGTCGTGTGACTTCGGGACATTTACATGTAACTCAATAATTAGATTATAATCCTTCACGATATCAATAAAAACTCAATATTCTGCACAACCCTATAGTGATAATTATCATTTGCTCACTGGTAACTAGCTTTAAGAGGTAGTTCTCAGAGTTCTAGTGAAAGGTAGTGACCAGTGGAGTTCAACGGTGTCAGGTGTGAGTTAGTTACCTACTCAAGACAATGAAAGATGGTCGCGCAATATTTTGAATTGGTTGAAGTTAGAATTTAACAATGTTGGATGATGGCTCAGTGGTCTAGAAGTTAAACGTTAGCGCGCGAAACTGAAGGTCCTGGGTTCGACTCTAGCTGGATGCGCACTGTTAAGGATTGCCATACTAGAACGAAACGGCCGTCCATCGCTTCCACGTTTTCAGTGGTGACTTAACTTGGATCGGTTCTTGACTTAAATAAAGTCGTAGTATTCATTTGAAGCTCAGTATATCAATAAGGCTATTGCTAGTGTTAACTTATGACTCCAATTGCCTAGGATAAGTTGAAATCGTACCCTAATTTAATTATATATATTTCAGTAGTAAAAATCGCGCAAATGAACACACTATGAACACTATGGATTCCCTTGTTTTTTGGTAACTGTATTTATTCTATGTTAATCATTTCTACCCATCAAATACAAGACCGTTCAGTACTAAAGTAAAAATGGTTTAAAATATGTTATATAGAAGAGTCCTAATGGACAAAACTATGTTATTTGAAGCCATAAGTGGATAGTTTAAAATTCATTATGAGCTCCAATGCTCTGGGCTGTTTACTTGTCTGTCAGCTGAATCTCATCGTTAAACAGATTAAATTTGACTAAGATCCAAATAAATTTCAGTAACCACTTTTTACTCAACATTAGTAATTGAGTAAAAATAGTCTATGAAAAATATTAATCTCTGTATTTAATTAATATGCAGTAAATATCATTACATAATAGCTGTTTTGATAAGAATATTGAAGAAAAAAAGTTCTATGATGAATACTGACTGACAAAGTTGACCAAAATACTTTCTTTTCGCCCCATTAAAATAAACCCAACTTGAACATCAGTAATGGTGACAATGTGTCGTTAATAATTTCTTGAATAAATGTATGCAGTGCTTCGGATTGTTTTCCCATTATTATTATTATTATTATTATTATTATTATTATTATTAGTATTAGTAGTAGTATTAGTAGTAGTATTAGTAGTAGTATTAGTAGTAGTATTAGTAGTAGTATTAGTAGTAGTATTAGTAGTAGTATTAGTAGTAGTATTAGTAGTAGTATTAGTATTAGTATTAGTATTAGTATTAGTATTAGTATTAGTAGTATTAGTAGTAGTAGTAGTATTAGTAGTATTAGTATTAGTATTAGTAGTAGTGTTAGTAGTATTAGTAGTATTAGTAGTATTAGTAGTAGTAGTAGTAGTACTGAGATCAATTTTTTTAATGATAGAAATGATTGATTTAATTGGAAATTGATCCCTGATAATATTTCTATCAGTATTATTATTATATACTTGTTTAATACTAATATTATCACAATTTTTTATTCAATGTTTAATTCCATGGATATTGATGATAATCATTTAGGATGATATGGATGAATAATGAATATGTACATGAATATAGTTAATACATGTACATGCTAATGTGTATCGTTGATATACTTTACGTATCATTATTATTAAAATGTACTTTTTGGACGTGATTCTCCAGGATTTGAATTCATACCTCGATGTAATAATTCTGATAATAATGCATCATGTTGTGATGCTACAATAAATGGTTCTTGTTGTCCATAAACTAATCTATTACTCTTGTAATCTTTATTTAAATAACGAGATGGTTGGTTTCTATGGCCAGAATTATTATTATTATTATTATTATTATTATTATTATTATTATTATTACCATTATTATTACGATCTTTTACATTAGTTGTATATATTTCTTGTTTATAATCACGTGGTAAAGTTGAACTTATTTTTGTATTCATCGGATTGTAATATTCTAAATCATGATAAGGATTCAATGTTGAATTAGATGAATGTGGATCGAATAATGTATGAATTTCATCGGCATTAATATATGGTCTATCTAAAATAGCATTACTTAAAATATTTGCTATAGGATAATTTGAATTAGATACTTTATGACCAATGGTATTACTAATCATTGGAGCATAAGTTTTATTAAGATGATGTTGATTTTCCATAGACAGACGTTTAGATGGATCAAAGTTATGATCAATTTCATCATTTCGTATTGTTATGTTGGATTTCTTTGATAGTTGTGTTGTATGTGAATTTTTTATGACATTTACATCTAAAATAGAATAATAAATTCAAAGTTTGAATTAATGAAAAGATGCGAAGGTGAAAGAGACTGATTCTTCATTGGAATATTATTATGACTTATGGCCCCTATCTATTATATCACACAATTAAAATCAACAATCAAAAAATCGATTTCTATGACCCTTGCTCCCATACTAAACCAATGATACGCCAAGTGGCACTAATAGCTTTGAGTCAACTCTAAATCTTTATTAGTTTTCGATAAAGTATATTCTTGTGTTACCCTGCTCATTGAGCCCAGAACATAATAATCAGCCCCCATTGTATGAATATTGTATTACAGGTATGCGTAGTTTATATACAAGCAGACCAGACCTCATCACACCATAAAATGAAAAATAATAATCCTACAAGATTGATTTAAAAGTTCCTGTAGGCAGGAATGGCTTTAAATAACAGATTGAAAGTAAACTAAGAATAGTAAATCGTATAATAGTAGTTAATGGGTTAAATGAAAGCTTATGATAAAGGGGATATAAATATACATAACCTAGTTACTTAATAATTATACAAAAGAATATATATGTGATAATAGTCCAACAATAATTCTGGCAGTTACTATTCATTTAGTATTTGTTGGGTAAAACATATATGATTCAGTGTAAGCGTAAATATAATCATCTGCATTACGTTCAATATTCAATATCAGTACAGGATTTTGTGGAGATAATAGAGTTTTCATAATTTTACATTACAAACCAATCTTAGTTAGACCACTATTAAAAATCTGGAAGTATTGGAAGTCTGTTTCACTCTAGTATGGAACTCCTCGGCAGTATGCATCCATAATATCGCACACGGGAATCAAACCTAATACAACACTTTTATGTAAATCAGTCAATAATGTAAGCGAATAATCAACAAGATCAAGATGTGATGCAGTGAGGATCAATTAAATAGTCTGTCTTAAAGTTAGGATAACCCATATAGGTGTAACATTATCTTACACACTACAATAAACAACTGCTATTCACTTACTGTTTTTCAAATTTTTATAAACACACCTTTTATCACACCATCAATCCTTAAAACTAAAATCCATCATCAAACTGAAAGCAAACTATACAACGATTAAACATTGAAAAACACAGAGTAAAAGAAACAAGACTAAATTACATAATAAACAATTACCTATCTCTTTTGTTTCTTCATTCAAATCTGTATATTCATCACTATTCATTATGTTATCATTCAATGTATCAGTTAATTGATTACGATCTATTACAGATTGATCAGATATAAGATGATTGTTTGAGTTTGATGCTATTCGTTTACTTTTAGTTCGTTTTTTCTGACTTAATTCATTATGATTGCTATTTGATAATTCTGTAATATTATTATTATTATTATCATTATTATCAGTAGTAGTATTAGAAGTTATAGTTATATCAGAATTGAATTGATTTATGTTATTCTCTTTGCAGGCATTCAGTTCACCAATAGATTTGATTGTTTCCACAATCTTTGAACTGTTCTGAACTGATAATTCTTGATTAAAAGTTAAAACAAAACAAAATGACGTAGAAATAAAATTGTTTCGTATAGTTTTTGATTTAATCATATTAATAACAGAAGGGGTTTTTGTGGATATTATAGTAACTTCAATAGTTGAGATTATGAATCAATTGAAACTAGATCACTATGGAAAACCTGGAAACACTGAACGGCCAACTCGTCCTATTGTGGGACTCCTCAGTAATGTACCGGCTCAGTGGGATAGAGGTTAAGCGTCCGCACGCAAGACCAATAGGTCTTGGGAACGAATTCCGAGAGCTAGATCGTGGATACACATTACTGAGAAGTCCCATACTAGGACGAAATGGATGTCCAGTGTTTCCAGGTTTTCCATTGTGGTCTAGCTTCAATTGACTCATGAGATCAACTATTTAGTATTGTTTAATTTTCAAGTGATATTCACCATAGTAGTTAGAATATCATCCAACTTCATTGATCATTTAATGTGTGTTTTGTTCAAGTGATTTCAGAAGTACACATCATTGAAGAATCGCATACTAGACAGAATAAAACAACTGTCCATTGTTAATTAAATTCTAGTGATAGTCAAACTGAGTTTATTCTTTAATGACTATCAACTGTAAATTAAAACTAATCTTTACATAATATCAGAAGGTGTTTTTGTGGATATTATAATAAATTTGATGGTATAGATCATGAGTTAATTGAAGCTATACCACGATGGAAAACCTGGAAGCAGTGGACGGTAGTTCAGCAGTGCGCATCCACGATACCGCCTCTCGAGATTCGAACCCAGGGCGCTTAATTTCGTGGATTAGTTGAAGTTAGACATTAAAACCATTGGATACCGGCTTAATTATATTAGGTTTAACAGTGTCCAGTTATTCAATCTACTAACAAACAAATGATAAATTAAAAAAAAATTTATTACTATTGTTAACATAGTTAAATCTAATCTGAATGATGAAAATTCCTGAAAATTAACTTCTCAATTGTTATTCAATAGTACTGTGGTATGTAATACTTATGTGGACAGACACAAATAGTACGTAGCAGGAATTGGAAGTTGATTGTTTACCAGCAGAAGAGTAAAATAAAGAGAAAAGGAAGGAAAACGAAGGACAATCAAAATAATGGCAGGATTGGAAGAATGATGAAGTATGTTAAAGATAACTGAAGAAAGATATACAAACAACGTACCGAATGTATGATTTTCGTATTTTACAAAGCTACTGTTTGTTTTTGTATTAAACATAGATTGCTTTTCCTCACATGAGTTCACATTCACTATAGTAGTGGTTTTGAAAGGTTTCATTAATAGTTTTTTTTAATACTTTTTTTCGTAAGGGATTATCACCCTTTTGTCAGTAGAAGATTAATTATTCATCATCATAAGGTGAAGTCAAATTAGTTCAAATTTCATATATGGATCTACAGTTAATTTGTGAGATACTCTGATTAGTGAATTTCAGCCCTGTCACCAGCACCAAACTTTATCGTAAATTGATTGAATGTGAAGATATTAAGTATTGAGTAATAATGTGTTCACTAAAAGACAGAGTTTCTGGATATAATCCTGATAACGTTACAGATGTATGTCCTATGTTCTGACAAAAAGATCTTCCAGTCCACTGGTTTCTTAACTGATGTCAATCAGTAACAAAATTATGTCCACATCGTGCAGATTGTTGAATTTCTTTGAAATCGTGATCCGATCAATATCAGATCATCACTGAAGCCAGAAAGCACTAGAAGGCCGTTTCATCCTTAGATGGCAATCCTAAGAAGTGTGCATCTACAACACTGCACACCGGAATCAAACCCAAGACCTTTGATCTCAAGCGCAAACGATGTTTAACGCCAATGAATCCATGAAATGGAGCAACCATCTTCCGTTGCCTTGGGTGGATAACTGCCTCACTACCTCCCCAGTGTTTTTAGGTTTTCAGTGTTGGTCTAACTTGGTCCAGTTCATGATTTAAATGATATCCAAGTTAAATGTACCACCACAAAAGTAGAAAGATCACATAACTGGTCAAAGATTTAAACTAGACAACACAACACAAGAAGAAATCAACCCAAATGTTGCTCAGCTTAACTTGATGATGACTGCTACTTCAACTACGAGTTAATAACCAAATAGAAATCGAGAGATAAACTCAAAAGTAACTAGATTGTAATATGAATTTTTAGTTATTTCTAGACAAATAGAATTGTCTAAATATCTGCATATATCTTAATGACCACTTTTCTTGAAACAGATCCATTGAATGCTTCCCTGTTTCCATCAACTAACAATCCTTATTTAAACAAGTTAGGAAACATAATTTCCACTTCAAGTGTTAAGAACCGTTTTGTCAAGATGAATGGATTATACAAATTCAGTCCATCAAAGTTTAAGGAGAACTTTCACTGTTTCGATAGCTGATATTAATTTCTAAGTGAATAAACTTCAAATAATAGTAAGCACTTCACTCCGAGTTAAATTGAACAATGGGAAGGATTGGAATACAGGAATTATGTTTTCTCCTATTTATAACTCGTAAAGTGGATGCACTTTACAAATGAAAAAAAAACACATTTAACTCCATCAGTATATTTCGTCAACCTTTGACTTTCTATGTTTCATCAAAGAAATTATGATATTCGACATTAACAGTTCAAATATAAACAAGCAGATTATTGATCTCCGAGGAAAGGACACTAATGAACCATTAAAAATTGAGAGTAATTACCTCCCAAAGGTGCAGTCGAATATTTTTCAATCTTTGAAGTGTACCATACAAAAAATTACTGATTGTCATGTATTATTGATTAACTCACCAAAAAGTTTCAAAATTATTAGAAACATGATGAAATGAGAAAGTTCTAAGAAAACAGTTAACTAAATTTCTGGAATCATTTATCTCAGTATATAATATATGTATGTCTTCCTATGTTATCCACCTAACTAATGCGTTGAAATAGCAACAGAAATAGGTCCGTTTTTGTATGAAATATAAAAGTTCAGTCAGCCAAGGTTATATAAAACTATCTAAATAATTCAAAACGTTCACTCGGAAATTCACCTACCATAAAGTATGTAGCTAAATTTGACACAAAACAGTTCATCTACTTATACATTTTTAAAGTAGTTAAAGTCTGAAACCAAATGTTTTACCTTCATTTCGTAAATTAAAATCGGAATATTCATCATTTTGTTTTTGACAATGATCATTATGTTCTGAATTGTTTTTAGCTTGCTCAAATTGGGCTTCTATATCTTGTTTATCATTATCCACCTCAGGATCACCATAATCAAAATGACTGTTATTATCCAAGGAATGAATAGATTTATTTAATGAAGAAGTTTCCTTCTCATCAGAATGATCAAATGTGATTTGTGTTTGTTTGTCAGATTTCTCTTTGATATTTGACTGGGATAACAGTAAAAAATAACAGCAATAATGAAAATTCCTTTTTTTTAAAAAAGGAGCATTTATCTCAGTTTAGTAATTTTCAAATAGTTTAAAATGTCTGTATCTGTTTATACAGTATTTGTGTTGGAAGATAGATTCTAGGTGTCACTTATGATTCTAACATTTTAGTGGTCTTGGTATGTTTTTCTTTCTAAGTAAATGAACTGTAAGTATGGGGTTGTGGAGATTATCACGTTTCTGATTGAGATCATGAACCGTTTGATGTTAGACCACTATTGAAAGCCTGGAAGTACTGTATAGCCGTTTCGTCCTATTATGGGGCACCTCAGCAGTGAGCATCACAATCCCGCTCGCGTTCGTGCGCGAGACCGAAGGCTCTGGTTTCGGATAATGAGAGTGGGAGCTGATGGTTGTGAGTTCAAATTCCACAGGGATTATCAATTCATTCAAGTTTGCCTATTTCCAACTAGCTTGAAACCTGTGTTCAGAGTTTCCGATCAGTTATCCCGAAACCCCTAAATCATTCAATAATTTGCATCACCAATTATAGGAGCTTGTATAGTCACATTTATACTCAGTGCTTGTTTCAGGCATGTGGGCTATTTGTACGAATGCCTTAATATCATGTTCGTTTAAGAAATATTATGGTCTTATAAATACATGCGATACCAAATAGTATTTTCAATGATCATTGCTGTTAAAACATATATATATATATATATATATATATATATATATATATATATATATATATATATATATATATATATACGGTAAGGAATACCTGTCGCTGATATCAAATAACTGCCCAGCGGCTTTCACAATCGACTGACTGAACATTCGTGCTAACACATGTCTTTATAAAGGAGGCCATGATGGTGTTTTTCAGAGCAAGTGTGAAAGGTTTGCAACTCAACCGTTCCGATTAGAGAATACAATACCACCAATAACATTCATGTGAGCTACAAAAGTTCTTCATCATCTCAAAAATTAGTTAAATTTGATTAGCTAAAGGCTAACAGTAAAGTTTGTGATACACTTGGATCTGTTTTACAAAAGATACTCATTCATCGATTGAAAAACCAAAGAGTTACTCAATAAGCTACTGACTTATGATATCCATGTCTCAGTTACTAGGTATGATATTTGCATTAGTTGAGAAGTAGGAACAATAGCACAGCGATGCGTGTAGATTAAGCGGATGAGTCACAAACTGGGCGAAACTCTGTCCCTAAACTTCACCACAAACACGTGTTTAGAACGTAACTAATATTCTGATGTGCACACAATACTTAAATACATGTTTCAATAGATCATATTTCCGAAGGAATTCAAGAAAACTCAGTGGTGAATGCATAAAATGGGAAAACCAAACCGCTTAAGTTATAATTATTACATTGTTGTTGACTATTATGACTTTAATAACACTGACAGATAACGCTTTATGGGTTATGAATTTAATCCGCATCACAAAGATTAATTCCGTGATGTGGACATATCCAGCTGAAGGCTCTTCAATAGTACTCAACAAGTGTTTTGTGATCCAACCATTTATCGTAATCGAAAGTATAACTTCTAAACTATTAACCATTTGTATTTGCAGTCAGTTTAGTAAGATAAAATGTTTTTCTATATGCTATAATAAACAGTTAGACAGTGCTTCTTTCAAGACAAATATTATCATAAAACATTTTAAACAGAAATACCTTCATTGCTAACTCGGTCATTTTTCTCCATCTAGCATAATCTTTACGTCTACGCCTAAAATGTAAAATGAAGAGTATATTACTGAAAAGTGGAAAATAAGTAATACAACAAACTGTTACAAAATATCAGTGAATATGTGTAACGCCACTAAGTATGTTAAGGATTGATACTAAAAAAATATTAAGGAATTTTGTGATCAAACACCTTTTTCCAATTAATTCACATATAACTATGTAAGTTTCGTCACCATGGTCTAAGTTAGTCGTAAAATACCCAAAGTTTTCTAAAAAATTGTAATATGATCATAACTTTCAGGAGTTTTGTGGTGAATGAATCTAATGTTCAGGATGTATTTGTCACAGAATGATTTTGGCGGATGTCAAAGCAGTAGATAAGGACTGTTGAAGAGTTCCATACAAGGATAGAACAACTGTCCAATGCATCTTCATTTTCACTGGTGCTTCAAATGACAATAATCTGTGACGAATACAACCAAGAAGAGGATTATTAGTTAAATAGATAATGTAGTGGCAGTGTTCAAGTAAAAAGTAACTTAAAATAATGATTTTTAAACCAAAGTTATTTCTGAATTCTGAAAATACATTTTTTCACAAGATGATACTAAATAAATAGAAAACTGGTGAAACATTCGTTAAAAAGTACTTGAATAGTTATTAGACGTCAGTGAAATTTCAAAAGTTGAAAATTCAACTGATTACATTTTTCTTTAGTCCGACTGACCAAACTTTTAATGAGCTTCTAAAATTCCAAGGTCATTTGGATGTCCCAGAAATATTCCTTGCTTCTCTATCTATCCATTTATCTATCTATCCATCTACAAATCTGTTTGTTATATCACATAAAGTAGGCTTCTAACTTAGTTTCACAGTTGAATTCATGGGTCAATCTAACTTAAACCATCAAAGAAGATCTTGATGCGTTCAACAACTGTTTCACTCTAGTATGGGATTCTTCAACGGTGCTAATCCATGATCTCGCGCGCGGGGCTCGAAACCTGGATTCCCATGTTAGTCTAGTTTAGATCGACTCGTCAATTGAGCTGTGAAAATAGCTATTCTCGAAACGTTTTATCAGACTAAATTATACACTATATGACAAGCTTTTTCTTATTTCTGACAACATCTTCACTTCAGTCCTTAATTCGGTATTAAATTATTAATTATATCAGAAGGGGTTTTTGTGGATATTTTAGTAACTTCAATAGTTGAGATCATGAGTTATTTGAAGCTAGGCCACGATGGAAAACCTGGAAGCACTGGAAAGTCGTTTCGTTTTATTGTAGGATTCTTCAGCAGTGCTCATCCACTATCCCGCCTCGCAAGATTTCAACTCATGACCTATCAGTCTCGCGCACGAGCACTTAACCTCTACACCACTGAGTTGGCATCCAACAATGTCAATATCTAACTTCAAATAATCCACGAGAATGAGCAACACATCCACCATTGTCATCAGTGAGTTACTATCTCACAACAGACCTTGTTGAACTCCATTAGTCACTACTTCTCACTAAAACTCCAGAATATACATCTTAAAGCCAGTTATTAGTGAGCATATGTTGATTACTATCAGAAGGAGTTTTGTGGATATTATAGTAATAGAGTAAATATTATAATAATACATAGTACTTTAGTTAGTATTTAATTTATTAAAACTATGGTTTAAGCACAAATTAGATAATAATGAGTGAATGAATGACATTGAAAAGATGATTGTTTAATTTTCGCTCTATAACTTTATGTACAAATTTCAATAATATATTAGATTATTGAATATGAACATGTATTCTATTCACAAAATAGCAAGTTGACCTTGATAACCGTTCAAAAATAAAAATGCTGACCTTGAAAATTAATTTCTTTTCTTTGTTTAAATAAATTAATTTCATTTATATTAATTTAAACAACATGCAACGTGACCTGATTATCGGTATCATTACCAAGGTTTGATTTGATCATTTCGAATAAATTGAGCATTGAATAGATTGTTATAAATAAATAGAAATAATATATTTGTAATATCCCAATGAGTAAGAAAATTAGATTTTCTGACGTTTCGTGACTTAGTTCAAGTCACTTCTTCAGAGAATAAATAACCAAATTCAAATTAATCCAAGTTTAAATAGTAGTTCCGTTGTACTATTTAAACTTGGATTAATTTTAACTTGGTTGTATATTCTCTGAAGAAGTGACTTACACTAAGTCACGAAACGTCAGAAAATCTAATTTTCCTACTCATTGGGATATTACAAATATATTATTTATTTATAACCTCATTATGTTCCATTTAAACAATTTTAAATAAATTAAGAATTATCAGATTCATGGGTTTTTTTGTGGAGATTGTAGTCATTTTAATAATTGAATTCATAAGTCGATTTAATCTAGATCATCATGAAAAATTTCGAAACACTGGACAACCGTTTCGTCCTAGTATAGGACTCTCCTAATTGAAAAGGCCATCCAGTGCTTCCAGGTTTTCTATGGTGATCTAACTTTAATCGACCGATGAATTCAATTGTTCGATTATTACAATCTCCACAAAATCTAGTTGTTTCTAATGAATAGATCACTTGGGAATTAAAAAAATTGCCTGTCTAAAGTACTAAAGCAATATTCACTCATATGTAAGTAGTGTAAAATAGTTAGAATAAACTGCATTAATTTCATCTATTTCAGTCTGTAATTTATCAATAAGATTGAAGTGGTTCACACGTTATTCTTTAATACTGATATACGGTAGTGAACGTATGGATAGACAAGCATTTAGTCTACTGACTATCAAAAGTATGTGATTTCTTTTGTTCTCACTCGTTTCTACTCCGAACTCACTAAGTTCGACTGCTTATAACTGTGTTGAATAAAGTATCATGTAGTCTTTACTCACTCTGGTTTTCTATTCTTGGTCGTGAATCATGAATTTCACATAACGTGACTAATCTCATTATCGTATTAACCTTATTATCCCTGATAGAGAGAAAATATATTTTAAACCGTTCATTATATCAAATACTAAATTGCACAAGTATAGATCGTGACATATTGCTAATTCTTCTTAGTATAAAGAGTGTTAAATGTTAATTCTTTCTAATGTATGTTGTAAATGACATTGAACCCAAGCCTATCATTAAATACAAATTCTATATTGTTAATCTTAAACCTTAATCCTAAGTTCCTAATCTTAATGCTAAATCTTTATAACTTTTTAATCACTAGCTAGGAGCAATGTATAAATGTCTAAGATACTATCTGGATTCATATGAATGTTCAAGAAAACAAGTGTTCTATATCCATGTGGACGAATTCGGACATAACTGTTATCGTGTTTTGTAGGGATAGTAACCTTTAAATGAAATTTATTTTTACCCTTTATAATATTATTGCCTTTTTTTATGAACTAATTATACAGAAAAGCTGTTTTCTATTTCTGCAACAATTAGCTATCATTCATTGGGATTGCTTTAAGCTCATCTCTGTAAATATATCCTTACCGTTTATCGAACCGTATCAAATTGAAATGATGACTATCTATTATATCGTTGTTAATTCTACTGAACGAAATATAATAAAATAGGTATTGTTCAGAAGTTCTACTGATTCATTGTCCAATCTGAACCAAGATGTAGAATGTAGAATTAAGAGCTAGTACTACGCTCAAGGTTATGAATTTTGGGTTTATGATTTATGTTTTAGAATCAGAGATAGGATTAAGGATATGATATCAACTTGAGAATAAAGATTTCGGGTTTAAAAACAGATTTAAGATAAGAATTATGATGCTAAGTCCAAAATCCTAATATTAACTCCATGAACCAAAGCTCGATACTAACCTTTGACTCTAGCAGTTAAGAATCTATTAGAAACTTAGAAAAGTTCATTACTCATGTGGAAATTACTTATTTCCTCTGGAATTCAAAAAAAATTGTCAAACAACATCAAAGTCAGAATTTTCAATACAGAAATTAAGACAGTTCTACTGTATGGAGCTGAAACTTGGAGAACTACTATAACCATCGTCAAAAGGGTCTAGGTATTTATAAACAATCATCCACACAAGATATTCAATATCCGTTTGCCGGATTAAATAGTAACAACATACTGTGTCAGAGAACAAGTCACCTTCGTGCTGATGAGTAAATTCGGAAAAGATACTGGAACTGGATAGGACAAACATTGCGGAAATTATTAAAAAGCACCATAAAGCATGACCTAACATACAATCCTCTAGGGAAAATAAAAGAAACGGACCAAAAAATATATTGCACCGGGAATTGGAGCCAGGCATCAAAAGAATTAATAGTACTTGGAAACAACTAGAAAAAAGAGCCTAAAACAGAGTTGTTTAGAGATCCCTAGTCGGAAACATAACAGCGTAATTAAGTAAATTATCCTTCATTTATTTATACTTGTCATTTTCTGATTGGTTAAAATAAGTCAGTACCTCAAAGCCAATCAGCATAAAATTATTTTTAAAAAAAATCACATTTAACTCATCACCATAGTGAATTCAAATTCTGTATTGAAAAATAATCACTTACCTAGAAATATACCAAGCTAAAATTAACATTCCTAAAAATGTGACCACAATGAAAATTAATGCAGTCAATGTCATTGCACGATCAACTGATCTTTTAATCATAAAACCTTCATTATTCTCATGATTCTCATGATGATTTATATTTTCTAAAATGAAAAAAAAAACAAGAATAAAAACCATTATTAAACTTTAGAAATGAGTAGTTTTGTAAAAGTATCATTATTAGTATACTTCTAAGTAAGTTACTCACTTACTTTACTTACGCCTGTTATTCTTCGTGAAGGAACATAGGCCGCTCACCAGTATTCGCCATCCAACCCCGTCCTGGGCAATCCTTTCCAGCTCTTTCCAGTTGTTATTCATCCTTTTCACATGTGCTTCTATTTCCCTACGTAATGTGTTATTTAACCTTCCACTGTTCTGCTTCCCTTCACGATTCCAAGTTAGGGCTTGCCTCGTGATGTAGTTTGATGACTTGCATAATGTATGTCCTATCCATTTCCATTGTCTTCTAATTTCTTCTTCATCTGGAAGCTGGTTTATTCTCTGACACAGAGGGCTTTTACTGATGGTATCCGGCTAATGGATGTTGAGTATCTTGCGTAGATAACTATTTATAAATACTTGTACCTTCTTGACGATGGTTGTTGTAGTTCTCCAAGTTTCAGCTCCATACAGTAGAACTGCCTTGACATTCGTATTGAAGATTCTCACTTTGATATTGGTTGAAAGTTGTTTTGAGTTCCATATGTTCTTCAACTGTAGGAATGCTCTCCTTGCTTTGCCTTCTGAGTAATTCTTTTGTTAATATTCATAATTGATTTCTGATCAATCTTTGTTGACATATATGCACCTTGTAGGAACCACCTTGATATATTCACTATATTGAAATTTGTATAGAATAGATGGAATTATGGCTAAGGGTGAAATCCAAGACCTATATTTCGTCTTATTATGAAATCTATCAGCTGGATATACTTATATTGCTAATATTGATGTCCACAAGTTAGTTCCTAGTGAATATCATGTCAATGTGTTTGAAGCGAAAGATATTGTGTTCGTGTCCCATTGGAAACATTAACACAAAATGCGCTTTCCAAATTCTCTAACCAGTCACAATTCCATCTATGGTAAGATAGAAGCATATTTGATAATTAAACTAATTTAATGACACTTAAATTGATAGTTAATATTTATTAAATGAAATTAAGTCCATTGAATTTATTATGACTGGGTGAATAAATGGGAATAGGAGACTTTGAAAACTATTCTCCCTTGAATCATTTTACATACATCTTTTTAATTTGTATTAAATAAATGATCGACTTAGGGTTTTCCTATACATTCCTAGTTATAAGTTCCCAATTGACGTATTAAATACTGTCATATTAAATTCACTTGGTGTTGTTTTACTTGTATCTTCCGATTGTTATTTAGGACATAAACTGATCAGTCTCATGTTGGCATATGTGCATCCTCTGAGGATTGCCTCAATATAGCCTTAAGTCACAAGGTTTTTAAGCAAAGATGGATAGTGGCTAGCAGTGGAATCCGGGACGCGCGTTTCTTTCTATTTGGGACCACTGGTCAGCTGGATGTACCTGCATCACAGAGTTGATGTTCACTTTGGGACTCTAACCTAGTACCATTTGCTCCAAACGCCATCATATTATCCACTTAGCTACTGAGTCCTGATAGCCACGTGCTTGTGAAATGAGGTGAAGTTTAAATTCACTTGGTGTTGTTTTACTTGTATCTTCTAATTGTTATTTAGGAGTGCAGTTGATCGGTCTCATATGTATTATGTCATATTATTTTTCGTACATAGATCATTCTTAATTCCTTATGAACCCATTATTCAAACTATTATCAAGAAAATCACTAATATGTACATATAGTGAATTACCATTTATGCTGTGCTATGATTTTGTATAATATGTATTCAATCCTATGCTTTTTAAAGTTTGAATAATATAAGGTGCTGTATTCTCTAAGTTGGATGGTTTAATTGTGAAGCTTTCATTGTAATTCCAGATGACATTTGTTGTGTCTTGCCAAAAAAGAAGGCTGGTTAATGATTGAGAATGACTAGTTGATATCACGTACTATGTTGCTAGTGGGACCAGTGACCAATTTCATGAATTTATAGACTGACTAATGAATGATAATCAAACCCTTAATACTGATTAGCCCTCGGGCCCCTTTCTAACCTAAGGGCCAATCAGAAGACGTTGGTAGTAGGCAGATTAGTTCTCTATTGTATCTAATTCAATGACGGCTAAAAACTTATAAAATAATGTATTGAAAATCCCTGACCGCATAACACGTCAAGTTAGAATTCGTGCTCTTAGCACAATCATACAATATGTGAGTGAGGAAGGAGCATACATTACATAATCAAATAGCAATAATTGAAGAATAGTAACGTGTATAAAAACAATTAATAGATCAATTGGAAGCTTACAATAAAGGGAATATAGAAATGTAATATTATGGTTATCTACTAATTATGCACTGAAAATATAAATAATAATAATCCGGAAAATAGCTCAGTGAATTTTAACTTTCCTTATATTCGTTTCATTTTCTACATGAAAGAGATATGCGCTATCGGTTGAAAACAATGACTTAATTTTCTTAAACAGATAGTTATATTTTAATAATTGAGATCATAAGTCGTTTGAAGCTAGACCACCATTGAAAAACCTGGAAGCTCTGAACGGCGTGGGACTCTTCAACAATGCACATTCATGATCCAGTCTCGCGGGATTCGGATCCAGGATCTATCGGCCCACATTACCTAAATGAATTCATTTTATTAACTTTTAAACAAAACTGAACGATTTGTTAAAACAAATCATGTTTTTATCAACTTTACATCAACAGTAATTAAAACAAATCATTTCAAATACAAATATAGTTTGATCATAATTTTACAAGAAAAAAAACGTTTAAATATTTCAATTATTACTTTAGATATCTTTGTTAGATTTTGTGTTCTGTAACGACGACATTCTTTGTTTTGAAAAACACCCTGCACTTATCGTAATGGAAACTGTAACACCTTACTGTCTAACACAGTTAGCCGGCTCAGTGATCTAGAGGTTAAGCGTTCACTTGCAAGATACAAGATCCTGGGTCCTAGTCCTGTGTGACATATCGTAGATGCTCAGTGCTGAAGAGTTTCATACTAGGACGAGCTGTCCGTTCAGTGCCTTCAGGTTTTTAATAGTTTACCAGCTTAAATTGATTCGTGAATTCAACTGTCAGTCTACTACAATCTCCATAAATCTTCATAATGATAAAAATTCATTTATTTATCGTTTTGTCATTAAAAATTATGTTCTATTTATTCACTATTAAACTGATAATATTGGTAATAATGAAAAGGAGGAGGAAATAAAAGATTTTCTTGTTATGATGAAAATAAGAGGTAAATAAATCATTATATATATATATATATCATCAATAGTTCTAAAATATATATCATTGAGCATTGCTTAACACTTATCAATCTGTGTCGTTCAGAGACTGGTATCTACCCCAGACAATGGACGAATGGTTGTGAAACCATTTATGGATCGATGGAAGTTAGACTAACACCGTTGGATGTCGGCTCATTAGTCTAGAGGTTAGGCATTAGCGAGTGAGACCGAAGGTCCTGGGTTCGAATCCCGTATGCGGGGTCATAGTTGCGCACTAATGAGGAGTCCCATACTAGGATAAGTTGTCCGTTGATTGTTTCCAGGTTTTCAATAATGGTCTAATATCAATCGATCTCAATGATCTCAATCAAATACTTAACAATCTTTATAACCCTGATACTTATCCATTAAACAACTTTACAATGAGTTAGAAAAAAGTAATCACAAAGATATGATCAATCTCAATTCATTCTATTTATGAATTAAAATTTAATTTAGAAGTGATATTCATTTAAAACTAGTGAAAATAATATCACTCATTGAAATCAATGATTCATGTAAATAACAATGAATTGGTTTGATAATAAGAATTAAGATAACCAGATTCGGATTTGTTTTTGTTTTGTTTTGCATGACGCTCAACTTGTATTTTAATAAGAGCTGAATAAAAATTAGGTAAATTTAATTTGGAAAATGCTTTGAAAATAATGAATGTAACTTCTGTAACCAAGTCATGAGTAGGATATTTTAGTGGCCCGTTGATCTGACTCCACTTAGATCGTACGAATGTTTGTTATCACATATCCTCGTACACAATCATCTACTTAAATCACGTTAATCAATAACGGAATTTAGATAAGTCAATTAACGAGAATGGCCTCTGAATATATACATATTTTGTGTGTAAAGTGAATGTAATAGGACAAAGCAAAACGACGCCCAGGGGAGATGGCTGGTAAGTCAACTCATTTTTAGCCAGCCGTTACTCAATATTTATAGGCAGACAATATAAACTACAGACCTGTGATGAGACATGGGATATGAAGTGTACACACATATACACTCATATAAAAACAGTCAAGACTACTGATAAGCGAATAATTAACAAGGTCAAAATATGACTCAAGTAGAATGAATAGACTGGGCTGTCCGAACGTTAGAATAAAGTATATGGGCTTAATAAATGACACTACAATATTACGTTTGAGTTGAATTGTAAACAACATTTGCTATTTATGTAGATTGTATCTGAGATGGTAAATTATTTTTTTAGTCTATTCTACTGATTCATGATATAGTCAAGGATGTTTGTAGGGTTTCTCAGGGTCCGACTTGTATTATCATCTAACCAACATGGAAATATATTTCATTTATGTATGGTTTGTGCATTCAGAGAGGATTATTTATGCAAATCCATTTGTCATTCGCGATAATTATTTCGTCCACTGTACAACTGTTGTTTATACTAATCTTGTTGACACAATGTGATCAACCAGGCAGTTAGTAGGTAATGGTCAATGTTTATCCTAGTAGTATGAACGTCCTCATCATTCAGTGATTTCTATTTTTAGAAATCAAATAACGCTCTATACATTATCCTTTAAGTCTAAATGAGTGACAAAGAGTCATCAGTTAAGTGATCGATAACAATCAGTTCAGTCATATTTTTGATTTAAATAATATTGAAAGTATTTCGGTCATTTTAACTTCATAAAACTCATCATTGGACTTTATCATTAAGTATAGTGTTTGCGAGTTTGAATCTTAAAAAAATTTCTTTCATCATCGGAATACCAGTTAAATAAACATTGAACTAGAATTATCCCCAATATCTTCAGTGTTAGATGCCCGTGTCGTTTCTAGAACTTTTGATCATCTCTTAGTTCATTTCAGTTGACTAAAATAATCTATAATTGTCTTCTATGAACATAATACAATAACGCAAGTGACATGGGTTGTGAAAAAAAAGTAAATGTGATGGTGTTAAAAGGGATCTATAATGTAAAATAGAGTCCTGTATGAAACATTACCCAACTAAATGAACAATACTACGAACTGAATAGATATTGAAACATTAAGCATAAGCTTATTGAATATTCAAAAACCCTAGATATTAATTCAAATCTCGTTTAAACTGAACTGAAGCTGATGAAAGTGAACTATTGGCTAAGTAAGAAATTAATCTTTGCAACGAGACTAATGATATACTAATTTACTATCATTTTGTTATGACGAAAGTTGTCAAACGCATATTGATCAATAACAATAACCCAAACCATAATGTAATATTTCCACCGCATAACTTACTTTGTATTTCTTCAACTTCAATTTGTTTATCTTTACCAGGAGCTTTATGTTCACACTGCGGTCCATAGAATGGCATAAAACAGCTGAAATGAAAAAAAGTACAAAGATCAATAAAGGAAATTGCGTAATTTTTGACAAAAGTAATGAATTATATGTTGTGGTAATTTTATGGGGAATTTCATAGGATTCAAAGTCAGTTTACATCGACACTTCAGGTCTTGCATTTCATCCTGCATGAAATTGTGGGTTAGTATTACTTCAGAGTCGTAAACTAGAATAGAAAAGCATTCCAGTGTAGTGAAGTGAAGCTGACTTTTTGCCATGTGGAAAGGAGGGAAGTGAAAGTTGATAAGGACATGATCTAGATTCTGGTTATTATTAAAACCTTCAAGTCAGTGATTAAACTATTATGCTACAATTTCCACTTTAGTCCAAACTGTAAGTTAATACTGTTAATACTAATAAAATACATGTAGCTTATGGGTAGTGTTACGTCTTTGATCCGTCTACCTAATAATATACAGGTTGGAACTTGTCTCAATCTAGATTAAGACATTGACATAATAGGCTAACTTGTTCAACCTTGTGATTCTGAAATGAAACTAACTGTCTTGTGTAGACAGATGAAAACGATTCTATCACCTGGTTGATTAACAAGCGAAAGTGTGAGAAGACGAATCAACTGGAACATTACTATATCTATTCTAGACTCTAACTCTGATTCACATTCTGATTCAGATTGGTTCAAAAAGATGCATGAAGAAATCGATGAGTAACACAGAAAAGAGTATGGCAGTGAATCATACATCAAACCAAAGCTTATAGTTTGTAGAGTTAACTAGGAAAAAAACAAATGTTAGTGTTTTACAAGCTTTGAATTAAGTGAAACAACGTCCCCAAAAATAACTTTCGTTGTTTGTCATCGCTTCTTGTTTTTCTGTTTAAGCCAATTTCATTTATTAATAATATGCACAAAGGATAAGAGTAAGGAATTCCTGAAGTGTTAGTTAGATATTATAAACTGAAAATTTACAAAATTGCGTTGTTTGAAAGTAGTAGTAAGCAGCTTGTTGAATGAGTTTTAACATTAAAAAAGGACGAGTTTAATATAACCAGTCAGATGAAAAAACCATGAAATCTGGGCAGTTGTTTCGTATCAGTATGGAACTCTTGAATAATGCCTAACCACGACCCTTCCATAGAGAATCAAACACAAGACGTTGAATTCAACCATGTCCCGGAGACCAAACGCCTTGGTTTGGATTCGCTATGATAGGTTCGTGGATATGGACTTTTGAGAAGTTTCATGCTAGAATGAAATGGTCGTTTAATGCTTTTAGGTTTCTTATGATGGTCTAACAAAGGTCAGTTCATGGTTTTACAATTTTCACAAAATATTATACTAATAATATAGAAAAGGTTGTTATAAATTTAAGAAGTGAAAATATTAAATAAAAATTGTCAAAAACATTTTGGCCGCTCACACGTAATATGATTATCATAAGCAAATATCACCTAAGCATCGTTGAGCAATGTATGTTTGTTAAGTAAATAATCTTCCAGAGTTGGTTGACGATTTATGTATAGAATGGATAAATTTCAACGTTAAAAGTAGCTAGAGGAATTTCGGGTGTGCTTTGTTTCTCTGTTCTCATCAGTTTATCTGACCACTGAATTTATCCCATTTTAAACTTATTATAGAATTAAATATAATGAAATTTGTAAATTGTCATTATAATGTGACATAAAAGAGTCTTTTATCAGTTATTCTGTTTCATAGACTATCGGTAGTTTAGTATCGTATATTGTTTAATCTCTTTCAAAACAATTGATCATGTTAGTTCTAATAGTCGGATTCACGAGTCAATTGAAGCTAGACTACCATGGAAAACCTGGAAGCAGTGGGTGGACAACTCGTCCTATTGTGGAGCTCCTCAGCAGTACGTATCCACGATTCAAACCCAGGGCCTATCGGTTTCGCGCGCGAACGCTTAACCACTAGACCACTGAGCCGACATACAACGCTATTAATGTTTAACTTCAATTAATTCACAAAATTGAGTGACACATCCACCATTGTCATCAGTGAGTTACTATCTCATAACAGATTCGGTTGAACTCCACTAGTTACTGCTTTTCACTAGAACTCCAGGAAATACCTGTAGTGACTCACTTTTATCACGTGAACACGATTGGTTTAATAAAAACAATTATTATTATAACCAACTGTACCAGTGTTTGTTTTAATGTGCTTTTGTTTGACTATGCTAATGACAGCTATATTATGCTTCCATTATTATTCTTACTCTTTGATTGTGACCTCGCGCGAATTCGGTTACGCTCTGTAACCAAGCTTGTATCCTGGCACGATCTCGGCATTCTTTCGATACCACGAGATCGCCAGCAAATATATCTCGACTTGGTCCATTAACTGCCTTCTGATATTTGGCTTCCGGGGGATTTTATGGATTTATTTGGCACGTGTTTCTCTGTAACAATGTTCATAGTCTACCGCGACTTGACGCCACGCTACATACCTCTTAGAGATCATCATCACAAGTGAGCATATAATTAGATATTATAGTAATTTTAACAATGCTTTCAGGCATTCCATGGTTGTCTAACTTCAATCGATTCATAAATTCAACTATTAGAATTACTATAATATCCACAAAACCCCGTCTCGATTTATAATTGACTATATCTTTATATAAACTTATTTAAACAGTTAACCATCTTAAAGGGAGCAAGAACAAAGATTGGTGCAGAATAATAAATGGAGTCATTTTATTTCGTTAGGATCTCATCAGCTGCTTACAACTTAAAATTTTTAAAATTCAACATTATTACAGATATTGACATATTTATACATAAGAGGGTGATTAAGGATGAATAAATGTATCATGGTGTAGCGAAGATTCCGATAGAGTTAATGAGGCCATAACATTTTGTCTCGAATAAATAAAGTTTGAGAGGGGAAGTTCCGGAACATTGAAATAGTGATTAGAACTCATGAAAATAGATTAATGATAATAAAGAAAATAGGAATTGAAATCAGTTAGTTATGAATGACGTAATTTTAAAATTCAGGAAGAGTTGGAATAGTGAATGACGTAATAAATAAATAAGGGGGGGTATTGTTACCATGGTAAAGAAAGATTTATTACTGTCTCTTTTTGTATATATAGGTTTGGTTTTAGACGTTTGATTCTTAATGCTTCAGCAAATTTCAGAAGGTTGGAGCTTGATTGTTTACTAATCACCTTGGAGGACTTCAATGTATCGACTTCGTGTCCTGTGTCAAGGAGATGTCTTGCGATGGCACTGTTAAATGCTTTCAATCCATCTGATGTTAAACTTTTCAGAATATGTTCTTTGAATCGGACGTAGGCTCTCCTTACTGTTCTACCAATGTAACTGCTTTGGCAGATAAATGTGAATTTGTATATACAGTTGGTGAAAACATGAAAGGGATACTTATCGACCTTTGTTTGTGTCAAAGAACATGTTGTTTTGGACAGGACAATCAATTTTGCTGCAGGAAAAGTTCTTGTTAGTGCAGTTTTTAGTCTCATATTGATTGATCCTGTGACATTATCACCTTGGAATTGAAGTTGAATAAAAATAGGCTTTTTATTTGCTGTAATTTCTTTGGTTTTTTTATCTTCACATTTGCCATATTTCTCAATAAATTTCAGTGGATATCCGTTATTCTTTAAACATTTTTTAACATTCATAACTTCCTCTTTGTTGTAACTTGTGTCTGCAGATTAGACGACAGCGTATTATCGATCGAACCAAAGACGCGTAAATACGTAAAAACGGCCCAGAGTTCTGATTGGCCCTGCTTCCCTGTCTAGCCCAGCCAGTTGAGTCCAGAACGCAAGTCTCAGCCTCTGTAATATGAATCCTCGTATTTCAAGCATACTCTGTTTACATACCAATCAACCCGACCACAACGTACCAATAGAATAGAAAATAACATTTGTACAATAATTAGCCAGAAGTGGCTGTGAATGAGCGAGGTAGCGATTAACAGATAGCGAATAATTCATAAATGGTAAATCGTTCAATAATAGTTCATAGGTCAACATAAAGCTCATAATAAGAGGGGCATGAATATGAACAGTTTAGTTACATAACAATTATACAATAAAAAATATACTCATAATATTGATCCATAATTGGATCCCAAAAATTACCATTCATTATTCTCATCGGGATACAACACTCTTCTAGTGTACTGCCGGCAGTACAGTAAACCATCTAACAAAACTACTTATCTACAACATTAACAATATCTCTATACTAAAAATATTCTTTAAAGAAAAAAAAGAGAAAAAAATATTCTAAAATTTATCACAATCTAGTTGTTGTTTTTGTTTTTATTCATCTTGTAACAAAATTGAATCATCAACCAGAACTGGTAACAATGAAAAGAAAATCTACTAGAAGAATAATGTTCCAATAAGATTGATTAAATTTATGTCATTTATTTCTGTACATTTTTACATTGATAATGTAACTTATATAATGAAAGGTCGGTTAAAAGTTACATCATATTGAGATGATTTAAATGTAACCAGTTGGATAAACTCAATAATCATAATAATCATCATCATCATCATAATAATAAGTGAGATATACAGGATAATAAAAAAAAGGGGGGGTGGATGGCGGTAGAAACAAACTATTAAAATGAATTTAATTAGAATTTTATTATAAATTAATAAAACTAAGCATCGTTATTAATTTTCATAGAAGAACTATAGTAACCTGATATGCTTTTTTCATTAGTAACGTAATTGAAAAGTAATTACATTTTTTAATGATTATTTTATTATTATTCTTAGGGGGGAAAAATAGACATAAATTATTGCTTTCATTTGTTGTTGTTGTTGCTACTTTTCTTATTATAGATGATAATATGAGCATAGTAACTGGATAGGGATTGCATTATACTATTGAATTCATTATTACGTAAAACATTGATATCTTAGTCTAGTTATAGAAGAATGGTCATTATATATGATTTTTATTTTGGTGACGAAAATATTACTTATTAATGAATATTAGTAGACTTTGACATAATTACTTTCGTCTACTGAATAGAGTCAATTAGGAATTGTAATAAAAAACTGAATCTTAAATAGATGGTAATGAGTAGATTTAGAAAAGAAATATTGAGTTAATTGTTTAGTGACATGGACTATTGTAATGAGACGAAATTCACAGTTATTTAACTAAATAGTTATCTTGTTTTGGTATAAAACAGATTACTAAGGATTAAATACAAGTAATTCAGTAAATTTAATTTAAAAGCAAGATTCTATAGTGTACATCACAGATTGATCATAGCTGAGCAATCATAAAAATAAAACAGAAAGCTTTGGACAGTTGTTTTGTCACGATATTCTTGTTTGCTCGCCAGAGCTTAATTTCGGAAAATGATTCTATTAGTTCTAACGAGAAACCGTGGTCAGTAGAGTTTAACCATGTCAAGTATGAGATAGTCACTTACTGATTATATTGAAGGATGATTTCGCAATTGTACGGATTGATCGAATTTAGATATAAAAATTATTGAATACCATCTCAATGGTCTTAAAATTAGAGGCTATCTACGAGACTTGGGAGAAATGTTTTCGATGATTCTATGGGGTTGTGGATATGGACTACTGAGGAGTCTTGCATTCGGACGAAATAGATGACCACTACTCTCTATTTCCCACTGATTGTTTGAATAAAAGTAGTTTATGATGATATTTTCAACATTCAACAATTTACATCAGCCCTTATGGTAATAGAGGAAAGTTGACAATTTTCATGAATGGACTAATAAATATCATCTTAATCATCTAAAAGTCATTTCATAATTTGAGATTTTCCACTGTTCTACCTTAAAGGAGTCGTCAGTTTTTCGGGATTCTTTAATCAACAAAAAATAGAAACATTATTCTTGAAGTTCATATCAGTGAAACTAGCACAAGATTCTAAAACTTACACCAATCTACCAGCGCGTTGTAATCTTCAATACTTCGGTCATTAATGTTTATTAAACGCTATCGATCATATTTACAACTTTTTCACTAAGCTGACTTACCAAATATCATGGTAATATCATGTTTGTATTTACCAAGCTAGAAGCAATATTAACCGAATGTGACTGATAATTATCTAGATGTTTTATTTAAGTTTTTATCGAGTTGTTGGCATGCATTTTTCATTAAACTTCCATTATGGATAAAGCATTTAATAAGTTAATGAGCAAACTTTTGATTATTCAAAGTTTGGGACAAATTTATTGATCTATCGATGATATGTTGGTTGTTTACGAAACCAAACTATTAAGGGAAGCTTCTAAATGATTTTAAAGCAAAGACAAGGTCATTAACCTGAACATATTCTGTAGAAAATGAATATGTCTATGCAAATTATTAACACGGAAATGATGTGACAAATTTAGGATGAAATCTGTTCTGTAGAACAGTTACTCTCCAATGAATTAAGATCTGACTGTTAGGCTTAGTTCTTACCAGTCATGCAAGAATACTAACCAATGAAAAGTTAATTTCTAGATGGTTAGATTTAGTACAATAACTCACAATAGTGGACCAATTTTCTTGATTGTGTTCCAATATGACCCGTTTCATAACTAGATGATAATATGAATATAGTAACTGGATAGAGATTGCAGTTAGTCAAAAATGAGTTCACGAAACAAACAAAAGCTATATAGTGCCACCCACTATCATCTAAATCTTCTTCTGCGGATTGTTACTAGAAAGTTAAGTATATTGAGTATATGAGTAGATGAATTCATCATGTTAATTTCGAACATAAATTTTAATACATTATAACATGACAGACATAAATAATCAAGAGCTTCATTCACGTAGACTTAGTTGACATTAGACGCCAAATTGACGTCACTATATCTTTTAAAAATACCTATTGAAGTCCCCTTAACCTAGTTTACTTCTGATAAAAAGACTACAAAGAGTGGAAAAGTCTGTTGGAAACCTATGCAAACTAAACTTGATCGTTTGATTAAAATAATTCCTTAACTATTTCCTTTTAAATGATTATAATATGTCAGAAAACTATTCAGTCTACTATATTGAAAAATTAGGAAATCTATTTAATGTATAGAATTTATACGTTTACTGAATTTAATTGAATAGAAGTTGATCATTTTATATGATTCTTTGTTAATTTCTAACCTCCCTCCCCCCTTATAATATTAATCAATTGATTTTCTTGTCACCAGGCGGTAATTAATTTTTCTGCCAAATTTATTTCGTTCTTTGAAAATCATGACAGTTACCGAGAAAATTCTTTATCCCATAAGTTATTTTTTAAAAAAAATTCAAAATTCTTCCAAAAGTTCTCATAAGCAAAGGTAGGCTACATATAATATAAGTAGTATAAACAATCAATAAGATTCTTAAGTGAATACTATCTCACTGATTTGCTAGAAGCTTTCACATTTGCATTTTAATGACAGACCATAACAATACATAATGTAGCTGGGATTAGTATAAATTTAATCTACAAATGCTGATCTTATCGATATCAGATCATTATCCCCTAAAATGCTTAAATATATGTGAATAAGTCTTTTATCTACTAACTCGATGCTGACATGAAGTAGGAATAAGCAAAAAAATTGGATCAATCTAGTGATGTTGGTTCATCTATTTTGTATACCTTCATTAGTCCAAATTATTTGTTTTTTCAACTGTTAAGATCATGAGTCAGATGAAGATAGACCACCATGGAAAGCCTGGAAGCACTGGATGGCCGTTTCGTCATGGGTTCGAATCTCGTAAGGTGCGAGGTCGTGGATGCGCACTTCTGAGGAGTCCCACAATAGAACGAAACGGCCGTCCAGTGCTTCCAGGTTTTCCATGGTGGTCTAGCTTCAACTAACTTATGATCTTAACCACTGAAATTACTATGACATCCAAAAAACCCATCTGATATTATTTGTTTTTGTTCATAATTGAGAGAAATTGTTTAAAACTAGGTTTTCTCACAAACCATTGCATCAACTTCATTGAAATTTATGCGAAAGCGGAGATACAACATCTAAGGAAAATAAATGCATCACCTATGGAATAAGTTATGCCACACGTTACGAGAACTAAATTGGATAATGTGAATCATACTTTATTTACTTATACACGAGTATACGCTATATCAAAACAACATGGTATGCTATCACTACTACTAATGAAACGACAGACATAACTCTTACTGGAAAAATGTTCAAATATTATATAGAGTGAATTCCAAGAAAGTTGAAGAAGTCTTAAAAGCATGAAATTCAGAGTAATCACTAATCAGGAAGTACATCAATATAGATCTAATTTATACAATAAAAACGAATCAACCACATGATCATAGATCATTTAAAGAAGACTATCAGAATGAATTGATTTAACACTTCATTTATGAGTAGAATGATCTTTTCGACATGATATGAATGTTGCTAATGTTGTACAGTAGGACTATAAGAGCTTCACAAGCAAACAAACTATTTTGGTCAATTAAAAAACAAAATCAGAATAGACATTGATTGTTTAACGTAGATTATAAATGTAGATTATTTGTTTTTCTCTGTTCTAAACAGTTTAACTATGAATAAGGTGTAACTCACTTGATTAAAGGTAAATTTTCTAGCCTATCTCACTTAAATAATAAAGTGATGTGAGGAGAAGATTGATCTAAGTATACAAGAAACTCATACACCAGAAGTGACAGATAAATTCAATTCAGAAAATATTCTGGATGGGAAGTCAAACGATATTGATTAATATCTTTATATAATTTTATGTTTGCATTGAGACTCATTTGATCTTTTAAACACCAGGTAACTATTTACAAGAATCCTCAAGGCCAAAGGAAAAGAGGAAGACCAGAGGACATATTGCGCCGGGAAATGGAGATAGACATGAGAAAAATGAACAAGAATTGGATGGAACTGGAAAAGAAGGCCCAGGACAGAGTAGGTTGGAGAATGCTGGTCGGCTGCCTATGCTCCATTAGGAGTAACAGGCATAAGTAAGTAAGTAAGTTACTATTTACAACTTAATTGTTGGATAATTTGTTTTCAGTAGACACTGTTATTGAATTATATTAGATCTCCATTTCATTATATGAAAAAAATTCTCTAATGAATCAGGAAAATAACCGTTTTAGTATGATATTCCAATGAAGAAGGAAACGGATATTTAGACACTAGGTCTAACTATTCGTCGGTCGTAGTGAAATTTACCACAAATATATTTTTCTGACCAAATTTCACTTGAGGGAAAAGTATCTGTTATTGAACAATAGTGAATTGTAATTAGTCAAGAATGTATGTATAAAAACATCATTTAGTATATCACTACCCATAAATTTATACTTTATTTATTATTTATATCATATTTGAAATGATCTCTGAAGATTTCATGCAATTAAGACAAAATCTTTTGTATTATAAACAGAAATAGATGATGGGTTGCAGTGGAATCCAGGATGTACGTTTCATCAGCTGAATTTATCTGATTCCTAGAGTTGAAGTTCACCACTCTACGGGAACCTAGTACCGTTCATTTCAAAAGTCATCACATTATCCACTTGGATACTGAGTTCAGATATCCACTAGCCTGAGTATTCTGCTTAGGATGCAGATATTCCAGTAAGAGAATGATCAATTTCAGTCCAAAAACATTAATGAGAAGATTTAAACAAGCAAACCAAAATGAATTAATATCTTTTTCATATATATATATATATATATTCATGACAATTTTTCAAACTGACCTGCACATATATACACTTGGATCTCCGGATAAATAAAAGCATTCTCCACCATTTTGACAATAATCTTTAGCTTGAACTGGACAATGATTAAAAATTGGCACTGAAAAGTTAAAAAAACAAAAAAAATACATTTGATAAAGTGAAAAGAAACTATAGACATGGGGATTATTTGCGTAATTGACTAAATGATTATATTGAAACATAAAATATAGTTATTGATACACATGAAATCAGTTATCGTTATGGAATTATATGAGTTGGTAAACTATTAGAAACTAAACAATACTGAAAAGTTATTTTGTTCTTGTATAGAAATCCTCAGCTGTCTGCGTTTTTCACTTTATGTAGTACATAACTACAGAATATTAACCTCTCATGGTTGATAAGATATCTATGGATTACTAAGTCCTCATTTTCAAATCTAATCAAGACCTATGAGTCTATACTATAGTAAACGTCATAAATTAAAGACCAAACAACTATTGAGCATGATTTAAAAGAGGGATGATATCAGTTCGGAATGAAATTTACTAACATAATAGATAGTTATGCAATAAAATTGTTTTATTACTTAAGCTATAACAATGTTGATAAGCAAAATATACTGAGTTTTAGGTTGCATAATTTTTTATTTTAGTCAATATAAATTAAGGATGGGTGAACACATACGAAAATGGTTGCAGAAACAAATGGATTCCAATGGTCAAATAAGATCACAAAATAGACAGACATCATCCACCATTGCGAAACATTTGATTGAGACGGGTCATAAAGTTGACGTCAAATCAGCATTTGTAGTGTTATACGAAAGCCTTCAAGGACGTATACTAAGGTTTATTGAAGCCTTGGCTATTCAGAAATTGAAACCCCCTTTATGTGTTCAGAAACAATTTGTCCTTACACTTAACCTACCCTGGTAATGCTGATTGATTATACAAATTGGTAATCACATTTGTTTTTATGTACTTTAATATTTTTCCTTTGTTATGACTTACCCTTAACCTGTCTAGTTGACCTTTTAATTTTCATTTATAAATGTTCTTAACAAGTATATGTATGATCAGATTGTTCGTAATATAAAATACACAGAACTTTAAAGAGAATAATATGAATTCATTTTCTTTCATAATAATGATCATCATCAGCTACTTAAAACCTGTGATATATATAACTATATGATTCTTATTTCTGTTACTATCAATATTGTGGAATGTTTTCTTACATGCTATGAAGATATATCGAAAATTATTATTTAACTGCGTAAATTTATCTGCAACTTCGCTATACTATATTTGACATGTGATCATATTCATTGAAAAAATTGATTGAAGGTAAATGTTGACACCGTTTTATATCGGCTTATTGGTCTACAAGTAAAATATTTGCGTACGAGATCGATGGTTCTGGATGTGCAACAGTGAGGAGTCCCATATTCGAATAAAATGGCAGTGTTTTGCTTTGAGGTTCTTAGTGATGGTCTAAAATTGGTCGATCCATGATTACAGTAAAACTCAACAATCTCCATAATTCTATGCCGGTTATCGAAAAATGTTGACGAAAACCTGACGAAATAAGGTGATTTCAAGTTACTCTGATAAAGTCTAACTTTTAGTATATGGAAATTCATAATGAGAACTAGATACACTCCTTATATTTCAGAAAGCATCCATATTATTGCCCTATTACCGTTAAACTATATAAGGTATGGTAAGAATGTAATAAAGTGACGAACCCGAAATAATTGAAATGAATTTGTAGCCAGTTATTAGTCAGTCAGACAGTAGTTTCTTTAAATGATTAGTTTATGGAAAAGAAAACAATAATCTAACAAAACGCATTTAGAATTTACATAATAAATCAATCGAACAAACAACTTCATGAAAGTTCACGCATTATGCTTATGGAACGTTAGTCTTGTACGTCTACCAAAAAAAAACACAAATGATTTTTTAAAGAGTCAGATCGTTCTTGAATAGAGTTGGGAATTAGGACTAGAGTTTTCATTACGAATTGATGTTAGCTATGTTGAAAGAATCCATTGTAACAATATGGACAAATAGATATCGCGTAGATATTTATGAGGCACTGCCTTAAATCTGATCAGATCATCCATAAAATATAATACTACCGAATTAAGGATTTTAGAGTTATTATTTTCAAATGGGATTGAGTAGGTGATGTGTTTTAAACTATACAAAAGTCTTTCTAATACATGCTTTATGTGTTATAAACTAATGGCTGCAATTAAACTCAACTCGATTTCGCAATCATGTCAGTCTACTTAGCGACTAATCAAAATGAATTGAAAATTATCATATCCACCATCTTTGTATGCAATAGCGATTGGCTTTCTTCGTTCTGTATATTTTCTTTTGTGTAACTGCATAATTTAACGTTTCAATATGTTGAAATTCCACAATTAATGTAATACTCATAGCATAATCTAATTTGTTTTTTTAAAAAATTAAATAACTACATAAACGTAAACATAACCATTATTTCACTTGGCAATACATTAAGTTTACATAACAACAATCAATTTAAAACCATTCAAATTAAAAATCCTTCATTTTCGAATTAGGCTCCAAAACGCACACACGCACGCACGCACACACAAAAACTTTTTTTTCAATTCTGATTGGCTCATCTCTATACAATATACTCTATCCACAAAATATGAAAAAAAGAAATACATCAGTTACATAATATTAAATGTTTAAATGTTCAATTTTTTTTTAGAAAAATGAATTAAAACAAATTTTGAAACATTCAATAAATTTTAAATTGAATTATTGATTACAAAAATTAATTATTTTAGTTTTAACAAATTTTGAACATTCAAAAATTTTCTCTCAGTTTTTTTCTTTTTTAGTATCAGTTTACAAGTAGAATGTAAAACGGATGAATTATTTATTTCTTTATTTTTGTAATTTCTATTAGCAAATAAAAAAACTGTTTGTTTTTATCCGTTTTCTCTGTCATGTAACATCATACATTGAGATTAGATGGTGGTTGGAGGTAGTCAACAGGAAAACCTGGACTCGGGTTTCGTGCTACTCGACACTCGTCAGCAAGGTGTACCTGTAATCTTGAGGGAACTGGTGCTCCCTGGCGGATTTGATCCCGCGTCACTCAGCTTTACAGTCAGAGACGTTATCACTGAGCTATCCGGGCTGCGACTGACTTCCTGTAGGACTGAGATGTAGTTACAATTGATTGATCACTGGGTGGTGATCAATGTCATGTGTGTCAAATCCTAATTTAGTGCAGATCGAATGTTATCGATCATGTTGCAATGTATCGTGTGGACTACCTCCAACCATCATCTAATCTCAATATATAGTGCCCTCAGTGTCTAGTCACCTAGACTGGTGGCCACATTACAACGTGGTCGATAGCATTCGATCTGCACTAAATAAAGACTTGACACACATGACATTGATCACCACCCAGTGGTCAATCAGTTGTGAACATTATACATACTCAATGTTGTTTTATTTGTTTATTTTTTATAATTTTTAAGTTAGGAGAGAGAAAAAAATCAAAAGAAAAGATTTAAGATAAATAGAATATATACATAGACACTTATTATGTGTCATTGTTGATATCATGTTTCGCTTAACAAAATTTTATTTAACAATCTATAGATTTATCGGAAATACATTTTTTTTTGAAAAAAAGAGAAGAAAAAGAAAAGAAAACTAGGAAATCAAAAATCAATTTATTATTTGAACCAAATTGGATGATATTTATAATGAAAGAAAAAGATTGTGTTCATTGAAGTTAGACTACCATGGAGAACTTTGAAGTAATAGATGGTCGTTTTGTCCTATTGTAATTGTCTAGATTCAATTGACTTATGATCTCAAATATTGAAATTACTATAATCTTTACAAAACCCTACTTCTGATACTAATCAACATATGCTCACTGATGATTGACCTTAAAATGTATATCCTGCAGTTCTAGTGAAAAGTAACGACTAGTGGAGTTCAATCGGCTCAGTTGTGAGACAGTAACTCACTGATGACAATGATGGATGTGTCGCTCATTTTCGTGATTTAGTTGAAGTTAGATATTGACATTGTTGGATGCCAACTCAGTGATGTAGGACTTAAGCGCTCGTGCGTGAGACTGATAGGTCATGGGTTCGAATCTCAAGAGGAGGGATTGTGGATGCTCACTGTTGAGGAGCATCATACTAGGATGAGTTGTCCATCTAGTACTTACAGGTTCTTCATGGTGGTCTAGCTTCAATTTACTCATGATCTCAACTATCAAAATTATTACAATCTTCACAAAACCCCATCTGATACCAAAGAAAATGGATTGACTATAGATACTTTCTGTTAGACAGTAACAACTATAAATGAGAATGATAAATTTTGGGATCCATTATATTTTTGATGAACATTAGTTATATTTTAAGAGGATATTACATAGTTTGTGAAATGTTTTTCATATTCTACTAATAGTAAGCTTTCATTTGAGTGTTGTTATATGTTTTTTTAATGATAAACTTATTGTAGATCAATTATTAACTAATTATTCAAGGTGGGAGGTTACCCTAAATGTCTTAGTTGGGGACATGTAGTTCATGTATATGATTGTATAGGTTTTCGAGTCTTATATATATATTCATTTTAAATTGGCTATCATCTTGGGACTTAGAGGTAAATTATTTCTTCGTAGATCAATAAACGGTAGTATATTAGGTCAATTAGTTGAGACATCATCATTAGTGGTTCGAGCATTGCAGAGAACGGTAGTAATTCTTTCAATCATGAATAGTTAAGCATATATATGTATATGATGAGACGTTGCTAGAAATATTTATACCTTAAAACCGTATAAAGTATCATATCATGTGGTGTACTTATAGTAATTACATGACAAGAATATTCTTTCCTGATAAAATTCACTCTATAAAGATGATTTACAACAAATATGGGAAAAAAGTTCACATTATGTACATTGAGTCACAATTATGAAAATTCCAATTGATACTGTGAACGAATATTCGAATGTGTTTAAACATAATAGAGCATTCACAACAATGAGGTATGAAGGTAAATACAACCTAGTTCTCGTATTTCTGATATTTAGATCCCGGTGGAATTTAGGAAGAGGA